CACACACACACACACACACACGCGCGCGCGCGCGCGCGCGCATTTTGAATTTAAGTTTTACTTTCAGTTTAAAAGTCCATTTTATAATTAAATTCATCTATCTAAAGTTCAAGAGTGTATAAGCGTAAAACTTTTTAATTTTATATTTTTCATATTTTGTTTATCTCTTACAATGTTTAATATTTTTTTTACTTTTAATATTTTCTTAGTAAAGCCATAATATAGTGTGTATTATTCCCAAGGGTGAGGGCCTGGTGACTTGTAGTACAGGTGTTGAGCCTTTAACAGACACCAGCTCCTACAAAAAGCTGTTAATGTTTCTTAAATTACGGAGAACCTTCATATTGGCCAAGCAAAGACTGGGTATTTCTTTGCATTTTGCGCCTGGCGTGTCATATACGACCGATTTATTATTATTTTAGCAAGTAAATTAATTATTATCTAATACTTTATTGTGTGCTGATCATAAACAATAATCAACTTAAAAATTTTTGCTTTCTTTTTTGTTTTTTAATTTATTATTTGTTTTAAGTTTGTAATTTATTATTTTAAATCTTTAATTCTCCGTAAGTACAAACTTCATACACTGTATACATATATGCTTCGTGTACACAGCACACTAATTTGCACAGACAACAATCTTTTTCTCTTCTCATTTTAATGTTCCGCGTAACCTTTTGGAGCTGAAAATCATTGCGTCGTTTTTGCGACGGTTTTACTATCTAAAGCGTTTTTAAACGAAGTTAATAACTCCATTCAAAGACTTCTAACTTCAAAAGCCCTCTACAAGACCTCAAAGTGTTATAAAAGGTACTTACAACTCTGTTTTACATCAAATGGCTATACAATAGCTCTATGACTAGTATTTCTATCTCTCTTGCGATTAATTTTACTATTGTACGGTTATCGTACGACTTGCTTGTTTAATTACTTTTGAATACGCTACTGAAGAACAAGTACTATATTCAATCCCTTAAACAGCTGATGTACACCTTTTTGGGCTGTACAGAAGTAATTTAGGCAGCTTGTGTGCTA